ACTTCATTAGAAACATACTTTGTTAGTCAGGAACAACCTTCCTCCAGTCGGGAGCGTGTGGCCCGCTTCAAAGCCCGGCAGTCTGAAGTCGGAAGAGAAAAACGTTTGGCCCGTGACATGCAATCTCCCGAAAGTCACAGTCTGAGGATAACAGGGAGGCTCGACTGGTAGCAGATAGGGTTCGCCACAGTCTGGCGAGGGAAAATGAAACAGTAGAGGAGAGGGAAGCTCGGCAGGAGGAAGATAGAGTTCGGCACAGTCAAAGAAGGGAAAATGAAACAGTAGAGGAGAGGGAAGCTCGGCAGGAAGACGATAGAGTTCGGAAAAGTCAAAGAAGGGACAACGCGATGGTACCTTTCGTTGTCAATCACGTGGCGAGCTTCCCTCTCCTCTACTGTTTCATTTTTTAACAACACAATCTGAGCTTTGGAGGGGAGGTAGTGCGAGTGGAGGTCTATAGAGCTGGCCAAGGTCAGGATGAGAAAAATTCTCGCGTGGCTTCTGACACCCAAAGACACCGTGTGACCAGGCAACTCGAGACCGACTAAGAGAGACGCGACAGAATCGCAGGAGAGAGGACACGGCATGTACAAATAAACATGATACAATGGCTTAACAAAAACAACAGTGGATTTCAGTATGATCCCCATATAAACTATGCCGAAGCCTTAGACAAGGTGTGTGGGCACTGTCATGCTCTCACATGGGCAAAAGAACCATCTGACATTTGCTGTGCTTCTGGCAAAGTAGCTCTTCCCCCCATTGTGGAGGCACCAGAGCCTCTTCGGTGTTTCCTACAGAATATCAGAGCATACAACAGTGCCTTTCAAATGACTTAGTTTGGAGGCAATGAGATCCGTGAAGGAGTATATATGCCCACGTTTAAGGTTCAAGGCCAAGTGTACCATCCTATCGGCTCTCTTTTTGCCAACCCCCGGACAACCTGCATCTTTCCTTCAAATATACTTTGTTGGTGATAGTCAGGCTCAGCTTGTGAGGAGGTTGAACTTATTTCAAGACCTGGACGCCAACATGGTAGCCGCTCTGCAGACCATGCTTCAAGACAGTAACGCCTACATACAGAGCTTCAAAACCACCATGGAGACCTTGCCTCCAGACTCGCCTGACTTTCAAATTGTTATCAGGGCTGATAAGTACAAGAAATTTGTTTGTTAATTTATAAATTAATGTATTATTTATACACACAACCTGTACGAAGGACGGGTACACAGCTAGTAGTAAAACTAAAATCATAAAGTTTCCTTCTTTTTGCGCAAATCTGCAAAACGTCCGCCGTGTAAATTGAACTCAAGTATAACGTAACTTAGACATCAATAGACAAACTTTAAAGTGAAGAATGCACTTAATATGGAAGAGAAGATACTAAAGATAGCAGTAAACATAACTTACCGGGTGCTTTAACTCAGAGTGTAGTGAGGAAAATGGGTAGTTCAGTGGCAGGAACTAAGAGAGATTATCGAAGATACTTTGTTAAAAGAGCATATCGCGGTTAATGATGTTAGCAATGACAGAGCTAAAGAATCATTAAATACGTGTTACCCTGAGCTTTAAACATATAAATATTCGTACCTTTCAGTAGTTCTTCTTTAATTAAGAAAGAAGATTGGATAGCTAATCTAATTGGAAATCATATAGTGATGTTTCAAACGTTTTTTGTTAATTTTATCAAACAAGTTGAGAAAAAAACTACTACAAAAAGAAAGTCAATCATAATAAGCTTGTTTGCTCGTCTGTATCTGTTAAATTTGGCTCAAAGCTACTTAAGAGCTATCTGCAATAGCTGTCTCTAATTTTGAAGTGATACAGTAGGGGAAAGAAGCAAACACCACCCATCGCCAACTCTTGGGCTATTCTTTACCAACGAATAGTGAGATTGACCATCACATCATAACGCTGAAAGGGCATGTTTGGTGACTGGATTTGATCCCGCAATAATACGAGTTGCTGAAGAAGTTTTGAAATTCTTATTATAGAAAAAAGATAATATGCCTAGAATGCTAAACAATGTTTTTACTGATGAGAAATAATAAAATTTACCAAATTTATTGTATATAACATATTTAAAAGTGTAGTGGATTTTTTCTTAAGTTCTTTTATGTAAAACAAGAAACTTTTTGTTAGATTATCTAAAAAACTTTAAATAAGTTTTGAAAGAGTTATCCGGGATTTTAACTGGTAATTTTGAAGTATATGTATATTCTGAATATTGAAAAATAGGTGTAATATTTGAGGCAGAAAGGTAATCAGACAAGACATGTGGCACGATGATGTCCACTTTGCCGCAACAGAACAAAGGAAAATATAGTGATAGCTTTTCCAATGTTTGAATTTGTAATAGGTTTGATGTATAAAGTTGAAATAATTCAGAGCTTTTCTGATATTAAAGAATATTTTATCTGTACATGTATAGTACGATCACACATTTTGTGTGAGCTATGTGAATGTAACTTTGAGTTACGGAGTGAATCTGGTACGGTATTTTAGTCAAGTTATATTCAATATTATAACATAGGGAAGTTAGAGTTGAAAGGCAGCCTCGTAGTTATTATCTCCTATAGGTCAGGAGAAGTGGCCAGTGCTTGTAAAGCTGATGACAAGGTTTCAATGACAGACAAAGGGATCATACTAGCAGTTCAGGTCCTTATTTGACCCATCAATTTGCTATGATAAGACAATGATGCAGCTTCTCACATCTATCTGCATTAGAGTCATGCCTACAGCAATTCTGTATTGTTAGATATTGGGGGGTTTATATGAATCATTTTGGATTGGTACATTCATTGTTGTTAGAGTGATAGTTATTCAGGCAGAAATATGTATATATATTCTGAATACAAAAAAATATCCTGTCATCTTTGAGACAAAAATGGATTTTAGCAGGATATGTAGCATAAAAACTTTACAATTCATAGCCAGCAAGAGACACAAACTACTAAATAAGAGAAACAAGTATGAAAAGCAGAGAAAAAGCAAAGATAAGATGGAAGAATGATCTTCAAAAATTTGTGTGAGTCCAATGGTCAAGAACAGCCATGGATAGAAAAGAGTGTAATCAGCTGGGGAGGCC